CCGTCCAAGGCTTCACACATTTTTGCATGAGCACTTTGTGTTAGTCGGGTTGACTATAGAAACAAATCCAGAGACACTCCTGTGTAATAGAGAACTTTATGTTAAAGAGTATTGTATATTAAGAAAGCTGCCCAGTCCAGTCCAGATCAAATCCATGTCTATAAATTCCTCTTCAGACTCACAAAACATGCAATGATGCTGAATGCAGGAAGATCACAGGCCAGTGGGTGGAAAGTATTGTGGATCCAGTGGTAATGGAAGCATCTCAGCACTGGCGTGGGTCTCCACATGGCTTCTTCAGCTGCAGGGCTCTGGCTGCCATTAGTATAACTCCATGTGGCTTGTCAACAGGAATGTCCAGCAGGGTGACAAAGCAGAGAAAGAACGTGGGTCTGGCCTCCAGTAAGCTATTTATCCCCTTTGCGCCTCCAAATGAGGTCATCAAGCTGCGACCTGCTTGACAGGCTAAACTCCACCCCTTCACTCTTACGTGTCTCAAGTTGACACCAGATTACGTAACTACCCACAGCCTCATCTTTATCTTGCTGAATCACTGATGGGTTTGAGCCTCAAACCTTATGATGAGCAGCCCAACACTTACCCAACAGCGCTACCAGGGCCAAACAACAACAAACCCTGCCTCTAATTCCATTCGGACTCATAATGACCTCTCTAGGATACAGGAGAACTGCCCCTGTGGATTTCAGAAACTGTAATTCTTGAATGGAATAGAGGGCCTCATCTTTCTCCGGAGAAGGACACCACTACACTACCAGCACCAGAGTAGAGTGAATTAAAAACCAGGTCTGACTTGCATTACCCACTATGGGGGAGGCAAGAAGCCTCTGGTGGCATAGTGGTTAGGCTTTGGGCTGCTATCTGCAAGATCAAAACCATGTGGGAGGAAACAAAGGCTTTCTACTCCCGTGAAAGGTTACAGCCTTGGAACCCTTATGGGGCAGTTCTACCTTGTCCTATAAGGTTACTGTGAGTTGGAATTAACATAATAGCAGTAAGTAAATGTCGGGAGTACGTTTGTGTTTAGTTCTTTGCTTCTTTGCTGTTTATGATGGTCCCAGATATTCCAAAATAAACACTTTTTTTAGAAAAAATACCATGTCCCATGTCTCCCCAGTGCAGCACCCAGAGGCCCAGAGGCACCATCATCTGGCCTTTGTCCCTCAATCCCTGTTGTCATCTTGTGACCTTTTCTCACACTTTGAGGCCAGCCTCCTGAGGTGCTAACTTGCATATATACTTATTTTCTCAAGAACGATTTCCTTTTTTGTCCCCAATTCATCTTTTTTGGAGAACCCATATATCACTAAGGTGATATATATAGAAAGCACTGTGTGTAAATGGAATTATTTTGTGTAGGCATCATGTAAAACTAATTATTGTGGTTGAAACCTTAAGGGGATGTAAGGTAGTATGGCTGATTCTTACACTCTCATATTTTTTTGGCCTGAAAGTCGTATAACTTTAATTGATTTAAAAAGAGTCTTTTATTATATTGTCTGTAGAAGAGAACGGAGCAAAACAGGCTCCTATTCATGCAACAATCTCTATCCAATTGGTCACATTCTTCGCATTGTTTCAGTGCTCTCATTTTGTCCCTTCTAGTCCTGCTGATTCTGATTTTTATTGATTATTCAACAAGCATTATTTTTTTTCCCAACAAGCATTATTGAGCTACTCGATTCCTAATCATAGGGGCCCAGTAGTCATTTGAAGCGTTAGAACTTTATCATCATAGGAGTCCCTAGCAGGCAGACATTTAACAAGGTTTTAGGTGGGGTCATGATATGGCTAGGTTTGCAGGGTTAGCTGGAGGGTGGCTAAGACAGGACACAGAGGAGACGCAGCACCATTTGCAGGTTATAAATAAATAGCGTTAGAGTCCTTTTTCAAACATAATCCACCACCAAATTCCAACATGTAAAATAGATGAAATTTCTGTTTTATAAACATTTCTTAGTTCAATTTTAAAAGGCTAACTTTAGAGATAAAGACAAGACAGTGAAGCCGATTCGTCATGGCGCTAGGTTTGGTTTGGTTTATAGCAGAAAAGGAATTTATTGGAAGGAAATTGGTAGCTAAAGTAATAAACGGGACATCTGGAAAGAGCAGGAAATGAGGTCTGGAAGCACAGACATAGACAAGATCAGGAGGGACTCGTTTCTTTGGGATGTCAGGGCTGACTCACTGCTGTCTCGTACTTGCAGCTCTTTGAAGATGACATGCTGTGATGGTTAACAGTTGCAGTGATAGCAGCCTCCACACCCAGTTTACGTGTGCATCTTTCATTTGGTTGTTTTCAAAACCCATGAGCACCCGGTTGATTCCAACCCATAGCAGCCTTATAGGACCGGGTAGAACTGTCCCATATGCAATCTTTCTTTTTTTTTTTTTTTACAGTATTATTGGCATGTAACTCACATATCATATAATTCAATCGCACAGTCACAGCAAGAAGAGTTGTACAATCACCACAATCAGTTTTAGAACATTTTCTTCATGCTCGTACTCATCATTATTAACTCCCCTTTGCCCCACAAACTCCCCTGCCATATCCTCAAGGAACCATCAATCCAATTACTGTCTCTATAGATTTACCTCTCTTGGGTTTTATATACAGAAGAACATTTAAAATCAAACAAAACTATTGAGCACAACAAAGTAAAACATTAAAACCTCAATCGGAAAGAAAGCAGAAAATATTAAAAATCAAAACTATTTTAAATGGCTCATAAGTGAGATCAAATGATAGGGCGTTAAATTTTAACCTGATTGCATCTGCGACAATCCACTTTCCTATGCATGCTGCATGTTACCAAGGCTATTCACATCCCTAGTCCATGGTCATAGTGGATTCAGGATTCAGGGGGTTAATTCATGTGTATTTTTTTCCATTTCACTTAAAAAACAAAACAAGGCAAAACTGAAATAGCTTTAAAATGGGTCACAAGGGAGATCAAATGATAGAATATCACATTTGGACCCAACTATGTCTGCCATTATTGACTTTACAATTCTTCAGATAACAGGGCGATTCACATTCCTCCACTATGATTGGAAGGGATTCACTGGAGGCTTAATCCACGTGTGGACCCTATAAATGGAATCTGGGCTTCCACTGTCATCCGTAACCGTCTGCAAACCGGGTGTTCACAATTTAAGCTCTGCTGCCATTCTTTCCTTTACCTTTGGGTTCTATTATTTATAATCCTTGGATCACACAGGCTGGTAGGTGGACTTAGTTAATGCCTCACTTAAATGGCTGCTTATTTGAAAACAAGCCTATAAAACCCTAGACACTATTCTTTCTGATAACCAGGCATAGTCTGCTTGCTCCAGCAGACTTTTATGGTGTATTTTAATAGCAAAGTTACAGGAGCAGCACAGGAGACAGACATTTAAGACATATACTTGCATGTAGGACAACTTAGAAAAGTAAAGTGAATGGATGGAATCTACTGTATGATAAAAATGCTACAAACACCATTTAGTAGCTGTCAATAAGAAATTTACTTTTTTTACAAAAATCCAAATGTTGGCATGGTCCAGGAAAATGTATCAGGTTTCTTTATAAGTGTTATAAAGTTGAAGTGCTAAAACGTGTTCACTGCAACATTTTGATTTGAATTAATGCTTTATGTCTTGCGTTATATTAAAAACTCATATACAAATGAAAATGGAAAAACTGCCAATACCTGATTTCTGTGCCCGAATTTTCCATTCGCACTCATCTACTTAGGCACCTTTAGACCCCATGGGGAAAAACGAAAACAGAAAACTAATGTTCAGAACTACCGATAACAGGAAGATTTTTATGTTTTAGAATGAAATGCTTCTCATCATAGTGGATTCTTCAGCACGCTCTCGACGTCGGCAGTGCGCTTGCTGGCTGTCTTTGTGGTGTAATTGTTACGTGTTTGGCATGGATAGCGCGTGGGGTGGTTCTTCAAAAAGGCCAACCAGACAGGCCTCCCGGGCCTCCTACAAAGCACCAGTGGCTGCGCCCTGGAAGCGCGGGTGAGCTTGCCTCACCGGGAAGCAGAGGGCGCGCTCTTGCGAGCGGCTCTGGGTGCCTTACCGCCAGTGGATTTGCAGGCAGTGTGATTTGCAGGAGCCCTGGCAGCGACC